GATGGAACCTGGTCCCCTCCCTCGTCGTTCGTCGTATCCACCCTAGGCGCGGGCTTCATGTTCGGCCTCGACATCTACGACTGCGTCCTCGTCCTCAACACAGCAGCCCAAGTCGCAGCCTTCACGCACCCGCGCGTCTCCCTCGGCACAGAAGCCTCCGTCGCCATCGGGCCCGTCGGCACAGGCGGCGCCGTGGAAGCCGCTGTGTCAAAGACGGCGAGGCCAATGTACAGCTACATGAAGTCCCGCGGCCTCTGGGCGGGCGTGCAGATCGACGGGACGATCATGCTCGCGAGACAGGACTGTAACAGCGTGGCCTACGCGGACCGACGCATCTCGGCCAAGAAGATTCTGCAGACGCAGGCCGAGTGGCCCGAGGGGTCGATGCCGCTTTGGCAGACGTTGATGGCGTTGGAGGGGCGGTATTCGATGGATCCTGCTATTGCGAGGGAGGTTGCGATGATGGGGCCGCCGGGGGATGCTACGCCGCCGCCGCCGATGGAGGATGATGATGTGCCTGCGCCGGCATATACGCCTTCTGTGGCGTCGCAGCTGAATTTGAACACTTACGGTGGGGGCGAAGAGGGCATCACGAACGCGCCCAAGGATGCGGAAGAGGAGCCTGTCTTGGATGAAAAGGAGAGGCTGAGGCGGGCGGGATACTAAGTTGTGGTTCAAGTTCTTTGTCGACGAATTTCCTTTGATTGGATGTTTCTTACAAGTTTGTCTTAGCTTGAATAATCTATGTAGTCTGGGCATCATTTCTTTTAGATTTGGGATTACGGATTATGGCGCGCAACATTAGACTGTCAAAATAGTTTCCTATAGCACGATATCAAGACCTTACGAATCCTCATTCTCCAAATATCAGTCTCTGTACCTTTCCCACCATCAACCCAAAATCAAGCGCGGGGAATCAAATGAGAGAATAAGCTTTCGGGACTTCGCCTCATCGCCTAGGAACTTCCTTGGCGCTCCCCAGCCGCACATGTCAGGGATGCTGTCCCTTCGGAATAGAGCCTGTGAGGTCTAGATCTCAATTCACTTCATGCAAAAAGAGCCTAGCCGAGACTGTCAAGCTGTACAATCACGCCTTGGGTTTCGAGTGCCAGGAAGAAAGTTCGTCTGGACATCACGCTTCCTCTGACATTGAGATTGCCACTCTGTGAGCTGGCGGTCAATTTCACCGTTGAGATCCTGGCACCCTTCCGTTAGTATGCGGAGAGATATTGGTACCTTACTAAGGACCTCCCTTCGACCAATTCGCTTCATGTCGACAGATGGCATTTCATGTAGCTTGAATTCGAGGTCCTCGTTCGATGCTTGTAGTAAATGGTTCACCTGGGAATCGACAAGCCGTGAGTCGGAGCCTTACGATAGTATACCTTCCAAAATGTCGATTATAGCTTCACGACATGCTTCGCACAGTCATCACTTCACGCTGCAACATTGTCAATCCATGTCATGTCGTTAATCAATGCCAAGTCAACGTCAAGTAACGTCAAGGCATGCCTTGCCATTATCTCTATCGTAGTCCCGTCTAGCTTTAGTCCCGTACCCTCGTCATACAAACTACAAGTACAAGCCCTCAGGCTCACTCTCCTGCTTGGTGCGAAGGACTCTCTCTCTGGCCGACCGGAAGTCTGCCATCTGGACCCTCATACGGCGTTCACGAAGAGCCAAGAGACCAGCCTCTGAGCAAATGGCCTTGATGTCGGCACCAGAAAGGTCGTCCTTCTGCGAGATGAACTCCTCAAGATCGACATCGTCATTGAGTGACATCTTGGATGTGTGAAGCGTAAAGATCTTGCGCTTAGTATTCTGATCGGGGTTCTCAAAGAGAATCTTTCTGTCGATACGTCCGGGACGGATCAGGGCAGGGTCGAGAGTCTCGATCTTGTTGGTGGCCATAATGACCTTCACGTCACCGCGGTCGTCGAAACCGTCAAGCTGGTTGAGAAGTTCCAGCATGGTTCTCTGGACTTCACGCTCACCGCCGGATGTTGAGTCGTAACGCTTCGTGCCGATAGCATCGATTTCGTCAATGAAGACAATCGAGGGGGCGTTCTCGCCAGCAACCTAGACTTGTTAGTGATCAATTGGCATGGTGAAATCATCAAGACAGGCTTACCTGGAACAACTGGCGGACGAGACGGGGACCGTCACCGAGGTACTTTTGAATCAGTTCACTTCCCACTATACGCAGGAAAGTGGCAGACGTCTGGTTGGCAACGGCCTTGGCGAGCAGCGTCTTTCCGGTACCGGGAGCACCGTAGAGAATGACACCTTTCGGCGGCTTGATACCCATCTCCTCGTACAGCTCCGGATGCAGCAGAGGAAGCTCGACTGATTCTCTGACTTCCTGAATCTGCTGCTCCAAACCACCAATATCGGCGTACGACTCCGTCGGGGCCTTGTCCAGCTTCATCACACTGACCAGCGGATCAGCATCATCAGTCAGGACACCAACAATGCTGACGCTCTTGTGATGAAGAAGGACACTGGCGCCGGGTTCCAGCAAGTCCTTGTCGACGAAGCTCATGATGCTAACATAGTACTCGGGACCAGTCGTGCTACTGACGATGGCGTGGTCATCGTCAATCATCTCCTCCAGCGTGCCGACGCCCATGGGGCTGCCACGCATATCGTCAACACGGCCACGCTCGTCTGCCATGCGGTCGACATCACCCTCGGGGCCAACGGCTGCACCCTCCTTGACGGCCTTGGCCTTGCGAAGGCGCTCTTGGTTCTCGACGTATTCCTCTTCGAGGATCAAGTGATCGTGGATTCGCTGCATTCGTAGTAGACGGAGTTTGCATCGGCTGGTGGGGAAGACGGCGGGAAGCTTCGCAGCGGCGCTGGTGCCAGCCGCCTTTCTCTTCTTGCGACCGACTCTGGTGGTAGGGCGTGGTGGAGGCTCGTACTTGGGCTTCTCCTTCTGTATCGCCAGTTAGTCTGTCTTCACCTATCTGTGTTTTGAATTCGAGTCCGAAGAACATACCTTCTTATCCTTCTCGTCCTTTCCATCGCCTCCACCACCCATTCCTGACTGGTTTTGACCCTACGGAGCTGTTAGATTGTGGCTGCCACGTTTCGGACAGTGATGCTCACCATCTTGTGCCACGGGGAGCTCCGAGAGCTCAGTGGAAGTGTGCAGACGGCTTTTCTGTGTTGATGGGGAGAAAAACGGACGGTCCTCTGATTCGGGGAGGTATCGAGGTGTCGTCAATGAGCTTGTGATGATGATGGTTGTAGGTGGGTTCCGGAGATGGAGATGGAAGCGCAGGGGAGCAATGGAAGGCAAGGCTGCTGCTGCTTGCGTAGGTAATCAGTGCGTAGCAACACCGGGGCCACTGCAGGCGGCAGGAAACGCGACGCTCAGCTTCCCTGGCTCACTTGGACCGGATTTGGAAAGGGCGGATCCAAGGTCACGTGCCTACACAGAACGATTATCTAAGCGCCGCTGCTGAGTCGGTCTCCCAACCAGACGAGCTCGATGTTCTCTTTCCACCCTTCTAGGATTGAAGCCGCTAAGAAGTAAAAGAAGAAGAGCAAGAATACAGACCTTATCTTACCTACAATTTCATGCCTTTAATTCGGTGTTCACGGATCCCTTCTGAGAGAAGTTGATCATGGTTGGCTTGTTCCTCGGGCTTGTTTTTCAGGTTCTGAGTAGCGTTTACCTTGCTTTCTCATTCATCTTACACTAAAGCCCAGCTTGATCACGATCTAAACACTCCTTTGATGAATTTACAAGGGGAGCTCGCTGGCTTCTTTCAACACTGGTATCCTATACAGAGCCGGCCCCGGCTGGAATGATTTGCTGTATTTCAGGAATAGCTTGAAAGACCTATGGGGGCCATGTAAATGATATTTAGTCAAGTAGATGAGTAACGGACGCCTTCCAAGAATTTGCGAATATTCTGCTGGTTTCCATGCCACATCTTGCCTGCTACCCTGACAGCGAGGGTCATTTGACACCAGTTATGGATTGAAAGAGAATGATATGACTGAAGTTTGAGAATGACTCTCGTGCATTGCTTTTGTTACTAGAACGCTGAACTGAGTGCTCGAATTGGTTACCTGTACAAAATCATAATTACAAAGGATGACCAAAGACTGTTAGGCAGACACTGACTGCTTGTCACCAATTCTGTTAAATTGCATCGATGCTTTGGGAAACCTAGGGCGTATTTGCCAGCAGAGCTGAAGCAAAGTTTGGCTCCCCTCGCACAGAGTTTAGCTGATGGATGTCTGTCACATCTGTGTAAGTGAGGCCTTTGGTGACACCGAGGGTCATGGCGTCTGGTTGATTGGGTTGTCAAGGCCAGTCTCAGTCCTGAATTCTCCAGTCAGATCTTCTAAATGTTACATATTTCTTTGTAGGTCGCAAGCTGTTCATCTGCTTTGACTACCTTGGATATTCAGAATTCGAGAAATGTGGATTGAGACTCGTTGGTGTAACCAGACGGTAAAAGTGACAGGTCCAGTGTTGCCTACCTTGCCTTACCTAAGCTTGGATGTACCTCTGATGCTCTTGCACTGTTCCCGACCCCGCCCTCTCCCGCACCTCAGCTCCTCCAGCGGGCCACACAGCTCCCTGGAGGCTGACGGCCCTGACAATCCCAGGGCGCTAAGGTGCGGTAGTGGGCTTGCACGGACCATTCCAGCATCATCTGTCGCTGAAGGGGGGAGGGGCACGTCCACCGGCTCTCCTTCTCCTCTCAGGTGAGGCAAGCTGCGACTGGAAGTTGGGTTCCGACGCCGAGCGGTCTTTTGCCAACACCACCACCAACACCAACACCAACACAACCTTGCCTCGCTTTCTTCTCGAGAAACACCAAGTAACAACACATCACTAACTCGAACCACACAGCTCGAAATTAACTACGATACATACTCTACAAGCACACAGCTCGAATCTTCACCACTACCCACGCTACTACTAAGGAATACTTAGCCATCGACAACCCCCATCGAACCCGCAACACATCTACACCATGTCTGGCCCCAGTCCCAGGGAGCGACGGATCGGAAAGGAGTTGATGGACATTCGTAACGACAAGGACAACTCTGGAGTATTTGCTCAGCCGCTCGACGAGGCCAACTTGTTGCATCTCAAGGGATCCTTTCCCGCACCACCCGATACACCTTACGCCGGCGGCTTGTACGAAGTCGACATTAAGATTCCCGACAGCTACCCCTTCAAGTCTCCCACAATCAAGTTCATCACCAAGATCTGGCACCCCAATGTCAGCAGTCAAACTGTGAGTGTTTTCTCCATCGCCTCGTTGTGGTTCGCCCTCTTCCACAACACAGATGCCCTTCATTGCAACTGGTACTAGAGATGCTGACCGGAACAGGGTGCCATTTGTCTTGACACACTTGGCAGTGGCTGGTCTCCAGTGCAGACGATAAAGACGGCACTGCTTTCCCTCCGCATGCTGCTCGAGTTCCCGAACCCCAAGGACCCCCAAGACGCAGAGGTGGCCAAGATGATGCTGGAGAACCCCGAGGGTTTTGCGAAAAAAGCACACGAGTGGGCTGTTAAGCACGCTGGTGCACCGTCAAAGGATTTTGACACAACAAAGTACAAGCAAGTTGCTTCCGAAGTAAAGGAAGATGACGCAAATAGGTGCGTTTCCAAGAGTCGGCTCCACGCTTGACGGAGTCTAAGGCACAAGAAACATGCATAAAGAGACAAGGCTGACAGGTTTACAGGTATGCTGGCTACAACAAGGATCTTATTGATCGCTTTGTCGGCATGGGATTCGAGCTCGATGCTGTCGTTGAGGCCTTTACCTTTATTGGAATCGACCGCAACGGTGGCATGGACTATGAGCTGGAGGAGGCGTACCTTGGCGACATCACCGCCCACCTCCTCGGCGAGCAATGATTCGACTACCCGAAAAGAAGGTCGCTCGATGGAACGGTCGATCGAGGTCGACGGCCACCCGGCTATCACATTCGCTCCGAGGCGATATGAGTACAAAGTCACGAACACGGCAAATCATGAGACGACAGGCAGCATTGCATCGAGTTTGGAGTTGGTCTACATCTAGAGTTGGGCATTAGTGGAATTCTGGCTTTCATGGCGAGTGGTTCGTTGACGCTGCGGTAGGGGGACTTGGAGCGACCTAGGCCCAAAAAGCTTAGGAATATGTCGCCTTCGATTACTCACTGCTTGCGCGCTCGTATGAACCATTTTAGCTTTGACAGCAACGTGTCGCATGTCTGGTATCCAGGCGGGAATAGGGACGGTTGGTTTGAACGGGGCACGGAGTATTTGCCTGCCTGAGCGTTTGGCTCTGGCAGTTCCGCATCGCGGGCTTTTGGCGTTTTGGGCACGCGGGATGTTTTGGTTTCTTCTACTCTTCTTCCATCACGGCTTTCCAGCAGCTTTCTAGCAAGAGTGTTTTCTGTAAGATACACAGGTAGCCCTAGCTTATGTATGCTTTCTCGCATACCAAGGTCGCATTGGCTTCTTTTGTAGTAGGCTGGTGACTCAAAATCCACATTATCCAATATGAAAGCTGCATCCTTTCCTCCGGAAACTGGTCCCCAGTTTTTCTGGGCCGAAGCCGCTTCCCCTCGGGGTTCGGGGACGGGACCCTTGTTGATTTTACTCTGGGGTTGTGGTTGTATGGGGAGTCGTACGACGGCAAGGGCCCTACATGCCGAGATGGCGCGAAGCGCAACGAATGAGGTCAGAGGAACGAGAGAGCGGGTAGCATTGCATATATCTTGCGGTAAAAAAAAAATTGTTTATAAAGCTTGGGGAATTGGAGATATAAGAACGGGAGATGGATGGATGGGAGAGAGAACCCGCAGTATTTTGAGGAACTTCTTTCAAACTTTCCCATTCTTTCCACTTTCCTTCATTTGCTTGCCCTGTTGTTCCTTGCCCAACCTCCAGTCTATATCAAGTTATTTGGGGCAACATGTTCAAACACACACGCACACGCACTCAGCGCAACCCGCACGATGCAAAGGGAGCAGCGCCGTCCGTTATCCTCCGCACTGACACGAAGGGACCATCCCGGTGACTACGCTCTCAACACAAGATTCTCTTCTTTAACATGTTACATACACAGCTGAAGCCTTTCCCTTCAACGTCTGGAAGATATGATGTGGTTTATGGTTTTTTTTACAAGAGGTCGCGGCGGACGAACTCGTCGTAGAGGGCCTTGCCAAGACCGGCGGGGGAGGGCTCGACAATGACACCGGCGGACTTGAGCGCGGAGATCTTGGAGTCGGCACCGCCCTTGCCGCCAGAGACGATGGCACCGGCGTGACCCATGCGGCGGCCGGGGGGAGCGGAGATACCGGCGATGAAGGAGACAACGGGCTTGCCGCCGTTGACGGTGTTGTTGGCGCGGAGGAAGTCGGCGGCGTCCTCCTCGGCGGAACCACCAATCTCGCCAATCATGATGATGCCGTCCGTCTCCTCGTCCTTGAGGAAGACGTTGAGGCAGTCAATGAAGTTGGTGCCGCTGAAGGGGTCACCGCCGATACCGACGACGAGGGACTGGCCGAGGCCGGCCTGGGTGGTCTGGTTGACGGCCTCGTAGGTGAGGGTGCCGGAGCGGGAGACGATACCGATGCGGCCGCGCTTGTGGATGAAGCCGGGCATGATGCCGATCTTGCACTGGCCGGGGGCGATGATGCCGGGGCAGTTGGGGCCGACGAGGCGGGTCTTGGATTGCGTCTTCAGCATGTTGGTGATGCGGACCATGTCTGGGGGATTGTGAGTATTCGAGCTGCGAGATAGGTTCAAACCCTCCAAAGCTTCAAAAGTGAAGCTTTAGAGGAATTTAGGGAGGGCAAAGGAGAGCATACCATGCTGGGGGATACCCTCAGTAATGCAGACGACGAGGGGGATCTCGGCGGCAATGGCCTCCTCGATACCGGCGGCGGCCAGAGGGGGGCTGATGGGATTCTAGGTCAGCATCCTGCTCTCCCAGTGATGTTCTTTCGACATTGTAGAGTTTACGTACGGGACGAAGATGGCGGTGGCATCGGCGCCAGTCTCCTTGACGGCCTCGCTGACGTTACCGAAGACGGGGAGACCGAGGTGCTCCTGGCCAGCCTTCTTGGGGTTCGTTCCACCGACGACCTTGGTGCCTGTACATGTCCATTGATATCAGCCTCGGAGTGTTTCCAAAGTAAGGTTTTGCGATGCGCGAGAGAGAGATATGGGTCGCGCAATTGCTTCGGAGTTATTATCGCGTACCGTAGTCGATGGCCTGTTGCGCGTGGAAGCTGTGTCGCAAACCGTTGTTAGCCGGGACTGATCTTCTTTCATGTCTATCTGCGCAGACACGGCGGACACAGTAAATATCGCCAGATATGCCTCTCCCCAAAACACCCAAACAGGGGTGGGAAAACATGTGCTACTAGTCGGCACCTCGGGCGTCGGAGGAAGATAACACCACTTACGTTCCCTGCTTGCCAGTGAAGCCCTGGAAAAGCACCTTGGTCTCGGAGTTGATGCGCAGGTTGTCGATGGTCTTGGTGTAAGGGCCAGCTGCCGAGGCGCTGTATGCACGCTTCGCGGCTTGGTTCAGGAGCTTGCCTGCCGGCCGCATCTGTCTCAAGGACTGCATCTTGGGCGATGTGTGGATGTGTGGATGTGTGAAAAGACGTGTAACAGCGCAGCTTCGAAAGAACCGCAGCGCCAATTAAGAAGAGGATGTAATGGGATTCGGAGGAGGATCTCGTGGGCGAGAGAGGATGGGAGATGGCGGCTATCGTGGGGGAAGAGAAAAAGAGAAGATAGCTGTGGCTGCAATGCAAATTCACGTCACTTTCCGAAAGAAGGGTCAAACTCGCAGTAGGGGAAGGCCAGCAGCAAAACTTGAACCGAGCTCTTTCGCTTCTTTTGCGAGACAACCGGGTCTGCAGCAGGCGAGCCACGACTCCACGAGGGAAGCACGGGACCCGAACGCCCGGGAAAACCCGTGGCCCATTTCGGCGGTGCGGTGAAAGGAATGATCCGATCGGACCAATGAAGGCCGCGGCAATCAGAACGGCTCAGAGATGGGAACATTGGGAAGGAACCGAAGGGCACCCTGCCAGCTGTGCCTGCCAACCTCTCCTGCATTTGGACGGTACGTATGGTACGTACCCACTTTGACATGCAGATTTGACGTGTGGCGTTTCCAAATGAGTGAAGCTGTGGCTGATTACCCCACCATCCAGCGACTTGCATTTGACGGTTTCCTCCAAAATTTCCAAAGTGATCGGACAGTCAACTCTCCAACCCCCAACCACACCCCGACTTTATGACTCTGACGACTTGACGCTACGGGGGCGAAATCACGGCAAACACGCGACCAAATTCGACTTGAAAATCTACCACCGTAATACCACGAACGACCGAAGAGACGAGCGCCCATCGAACTCAGATTACCCCCCATACCCCTCAAGATGGCGACAACCACAGTCACCGTCACCAAGGGGCGGTCCAAGAACGACAACCTCCCCCCCGAGAACGAGCGCTTCCTACGATGCTGTGCAGATGTCGCCAATGCCCTCATTGAAGACCACGAGGCTATCAGGGACCCCAAGAATCCGCCAAAGGATCTCAACCTTAATTCTTTGCGCAACAAGTTTTCCAGGAAGCATAAGCTTGCCAATATTCCACCCCTCACAGCCATTATTGCTGCGATTCCTGAGCACTACAAGAAATACATCCTGCCGAAGCTCATTGCAAAGCCAATCCGTATGCTGTCTTTTTAGCCTCTTCACATAACCAGGCGCATGCTTATCATACCTTCCAGGAACATCATCGGGTATCGCCGTTGTGGCGGTAATGTGCAAGCCTCACAGATGTCCGCATATTGCCTATACGGGTAACATTTGCGTCTACTGCCCCGGCGGTCCAGACTCCGATTTCGAATACAGCACACAATCCTACACTGGATACGAACCTACATCGATGCGAGCGATCCGCGCACGTTACGACCCCTTCGAGCAGGCCCGCGGCCGTGTCGACCAGCTCAAGTCTCTGGGGCACTCAGTTGACAAGGTCGAGTACATCATCATGGGCGGCACATTCATGTCACTGCCCGTGCCGTACAGGGAGGACTTCATCGCTCAACTACACAATGCGCTCAGCGGATACCAGACGTCGAATGTGGACGAGGCAGTGGAGGCCAGCGAAATGAGCAACATCAAGTGTGTCGGTATCACAATCGAGACGAGGCCGGATTACTGTTGGCAGCCACACCTGACGGATATGTTGCGTTATGGCTGCACGAGGTTGGAGATCGGAGTGCAGTCGCTGTACGAAGATGTCGCAAGAGACACAAATCGTGGCCACACTGTTGCCGCCGTCGCCGAGACGTTCTGCCTGGCCAAGGACGCAGGCTTCAAGGTGGTCAGTCACATGATGCCTGATTTGCCCAACGTGGGCATGGAGAGAGATCTGGACCAGTTCCGCGAGTACTTTGAGAGCCCCGCGTTCCGTACGGATGGTCTCAAGATTTACCCGACTCTCGTCATCAGAGGTACCGGCTTATATGAGCTGTGGCGTACAGGCCGATACCAGAATTACACCCCCAACGGCTTGATCGATCTCGTCGCACGAATTCTGGCCCTGATCCCGCCGTGGACACGTATCTACCGAGTGCAGAGAGATATCCCTATGCCTTTGGTCACATCTGGTGTAGAAAACGGCAATTTGCGCGAACTGGCACTGGCGAGAATGAAGGATTTCGGCACAACATGTCGAGATGTGCGGACGCGCGAGGTCGGTGTCAACGAGGTCAAGAACAAGATTAGGCCGAACCAGATCGAGCTGGTGCGACGAGACTACACAGCCAACGGCGGATGGGAAACGTTCCTTGCGTACGAGGATCCGAAGCAGGACATCCTCGTTGCCCTGTTGCGTCTACGAAAGTGCACCGAAAAGTACACGTACAGAGAGGAGCTCGTTGGACAGCCGACGAGTCTGGTCAGAGAGTTGCACGTTTATGGCACCGCAGTGCCGGTACACGCCAGAGATCCGAAGAAGTTCCAGCACCAGGGTTTCGGTACGCTGCTGATGGAGGAGGCAGAGAGAATCGCAAGGGACGAGCACGGCAGCGAAAAGATTAGTGTTATTTCTGGAGTAGGTGTGAGAAGCTACTACGCTAAGCTCGGGTACTGGCTCGATGGGCCGTACATGAGCAAGTGGCTTGATGGGCGGCCTGGGCCTGATGAAGCTACATGAAGTAATGATGGAGACGCTCACTGATGGCGAATCGATTCGCTCTGTGGCCTCTTCATAGTCTCTAGCCCCGACGGCTTGAAGCCTTGCTCGGCGCGCCCGGCACTAGGGACGGGCTCAGTCCTGTTGTCCTAGGTCCATGGGATCTGCAGAGGCGCATTGGCAACGATCGTCGTCTCGTGCTGCATTCTTGTTGCCTTTATTTATGTTGAAGGCTCAGGATTGATGTCGGGTACGGTATGGGCTACAGGGCGCCCAAGGTGTGAGATTGAGGATTGAAGCTGAGTGAAGTTTCGGATGCTTCACTTCCCAGCTGCAGCGTCAAGCTTCTCCTCGAATGCGAGGAGGCACTCAAGGACACCAGGTCCTCCATTGGTTTCCAGGGCAGACCATTGGTCCTTGGTCATGCGCTTCAGGACGTAGTTAGATACCGTAGAGTGATCGCGCTGATCGGGCCGTCCAATGCCAACTGCTATCCTCGCCCACTTTGACTCTGGGTAATCTGCCTCGCGGAGACAATTGTTGACGCTCTTGATGCCATTGTGGCCTCTGTGGCTGCTCTTCCACTTTCTCGTCTTGACGAAGCCTAGTTCCTCCTCCAGATCGTCGTGGACAAGGATGAGACTCAGGTCTGCTGGGTTCCGGGCGCCCAGGGTTTCCTTCCATGCTTTTGCCAGCCATTTTCCGGTTACATTCATGACGGAGGGGCTCTGGATCATTGCATATTTGGGCCCGAATGAGGCCAGACAGGAGCTGCCGCCGAAACGGCCTCTGTGGAAGGCGGGTTGAGAGGGGCCCAGGAGTTTCTGTAGAGAGTTGAGAGCATGGTGGCCGGCGGAGTGAAGGGTGTTGTAGTGTGGCTCTGGATTTCCCAGGCTGATGAGGAGGAAGCGAGGTGCGTTCATTTTTGTTTCTTTTCTGTGGTGCTGTGTATGATGTTGTGAAATGACTGAATTGAGATGCAATGGTGGTGTTGAGAATTCAGAATGAGAGACTATGAGTTTCCGGGACTTGTAAGGTTATTAAAGACTAGACTGAACATATCCCCGGTAAGCATAAAGGAATTTGAGGCCATTCTCCTGGTCTAACAAGGCCTGCATAAGAAGCCATATAAGCACCTTGTGTTTGCACAAAGAGGCTTCTGGGCTGAATTGGCCTCGTGCACGGCTGCACTATGTTGTCTTACCTAATCACCAACGCTGAGTCACCGGGGAGTGAACCATCGGGAAAAGGGCACTTGCGCCCACCGCCATGGCTCTAGTTGACCTTAGGTAAGCACAGCAGGAAGAGCCAGAAAAATGGCTACAGGGCTGAGCCACAGAGCTACCCGGCGCTAAGAGGAGCTAACACCAACAAGGACGTGGCGCAGCCCCAAAGCCTCTGTTCGCTGACGTCGATTTCCGGTTCTGGGCGCTGCCCGGGTGCAGTTGGGTCTCCCCCAGCATGCTCAGGTGCTGTGCTCCGAGTGCATTGAGTGATTCGTCCGCGCAATCAAAACCGCATTTCCTTTCTCCCCCTCCACCACCCAGTGCACCACCCCCCCATCAATTCAACTCCGGACGACGAAACGGCCTTCCTACGAACAACGATACCTGCCGAAACCACCAAGTGATCAGTTCACACACGTTACCCGCTCGAGCATTATTGTGCCTTTGAACTTTTATTCCGAACCTTAGCACCGAGTACGAAGAGGAAACACACAGCAAGACAGCCAAGATGTCGTGGGCAGGTACGACTTGAGAGTCTCGGATGACCCCTCCTCGGGCGCAACCTGAGCAAAAAGGAAATGGAGGACCACCAACTCAAGGATCTGGACTGATGGTACTTGGCTACAGGATTCAAGAAAAATGTCAACCGCGCGACGACGCAGGTGATGATGAAGACGGGTGAGCCCTTTCTGCCCAACTTACAGTCACAAATACGGAGAGGTTCTGATCTTGGCAGGCCATGTGGAGAAGACCAACGACCGCGACTACGAGGTGGAAGAGAGGTGAGCTGCACCCTATACCCAGGGCCGAGATACCCGACAAAAGAAAAAAAAAATACTGAGACTTTTTTTTTGGCAGACGATTCAGAACCATGGAGACGGCTTCCTTGCGGTTGCAGAAGGAGGCAAAGGGCTACTTGGATTCATTGCGAGGTGTGTTTGGCGGTCTACAACTAAGGACCCCCCTTGCCAAGAATGACAGTGGGCTAACTCTGTTCAACAGCCATGACTGCTTCCCAGATGCGCATTGCCGAGACGATAGACGCCTTTTACGGAGACTCTGGTGCGAAAGACGGCGTGAGCAGAAGTTACAAGCAGGCGGTGGAGGACCTTGATGCCGAGACCATTAAGGCGCTGGATGGCCCCTACCAGTATGATCACAGGTAACACCTCGATTACCAGCATTTTGACTAATGTACGATGCAGACAAACCGTTCTCGAGCCCATCTCACGCTTCTGCGCCTACTTCCCAGACGTAAACGAATGTCGGTATAATCCAGGCTGTACTTTGATGTCAGATTGCTGACCCTTCCCAGGCATCAAGAAGCGCGGCCACAAGCTCCTCGACTACGATGCACTACGCGCCAAGGTCAAGAAGCTCGTCGAGAAGCCCGATAAGGACGTGACCAAGCTGCCCCGCGCCGAGAAGGAGATGGAAATGGCAAAGGCCGCCTACGAGCAGCTCAACGAGCAGCTGTCGTCGGAACTTCCCCAGCTCATCGACCTCCGCGTGCCGTATCTCGATCCGACTTTCGAGGCCCTCGTCAAGATCCAGCTGCGCTTCTGCGCCGAGGCGTACAGTCGCATGGCGCAGGTGCAACAGTACCTGGACGCGGATACTAGAGAACAGTATGCGCAAGGTCAGCTGGATCAGCGTGTCGAGCAAGTGCTGCAGGAGATTCGCGAGCTCAGCATCAGTGGCACCGTATGAGCGAGACGTTTGTTCTTTTCTTTGTCACTTTGCGCGTCTTAATCTGGGGTGATGGGTTTCACTCAAGAATCTCCTGGTAATGGGAGGGGAGTTTTATACACGAGCATGGTCTAGGAAGGGTCAAGGCTTTTGGGGATTGTAATAGAGAAAAAGAAACGCAGCCCCCTAGACTTTGCGAGTCACGACGGGAGGGACTTTGGGAGAATTACCGAGTCCCATGACGACTTTGCATTCATGTATGAAAAATGACTTTTTTCTTTCTTTCTTAATCAAGGGTATCATTGGTTCAACCGTCACGCTCTCCGGAGCGTCCCCCTTTTCGCCTCTCTCTCAAGTAGATATTTCGTGCAGTTCGTTCCTCGCCATGCTAGTCTTTTTAAGTCTCAACATCAACACCAATTTCAACTTCAACGTCTCTGAAGATTCTTCATCTCAGTTCCACGCAGGCAAATCTTTGCCATTCCCCACACATCAGACGCCTCGGCAATACCCCATCCCCTCACCGAAGACTCCCGCGCCTTGATCCCCGCAGCATACACCGCAGGCTCCTAGCCCTGGAGACCATTCTGCGCGCCAAACAGGTCGCTCAAGCTCAGCTTCCGACCAATGGCCTGCATCGCGGGGCCCAGCTCCTCTGCCCCACCTGGGCCACCGGGGCCGCCGATACCAGCCACGGCATTCTGCTCCTCGGCGAGGCGGACGTGCTTGAGCGTCTCGGAGATGAGGGCGGCGTTCATAACGCGCGTGTCTTCCTTGTCTGCGTGGATCCAGATGCCCATGACTTTGTTGGTGCCCTCTGCGGCCTCCTCGCTGGTCCCGCGCAGACGGAAAATGTAGATCTCGTCCATGACTTCAAAGTCGTCCACCTCGCTTAGATCGAGAATCACATTCTCCAGCCCGCGCCGGTTGAGCACAAAGATGCATGCCCTCGGACTCGGTGCCGCGCCAGGAACGGGGTCCTGCATGCAGAGGAAGTAGGTGCCCTCGATGCCTGTCTTGTCCCAGCCGGGGAGGGTGGGGTTGAAGGTGTAGACGACGGCGTTGGCGGCGATGGAGAGGGTTGAGTTTATGGAGGGGAGGTAGCGGCGGAGGACGGAGAGGTTGAGGTCCGTGTTTGTGCGGTTGAGGAGGGCTGGGTTCGGGTCCGGGACGGGGTGGGAGTCGATGTAGTGCGCCGCGTCGGATTCATAGTCGGATTGGACTGGGCGGGGGCCGGTGGGTTGGTTTCCTTGGGAGGAGTGGCGGGCGTGGCCGCCGCCGCGTCGTCGGGGGGTTGAGCGGGACATTTGTGGTGGTGGTTATGTGTGTGTGTGTGTGTGTCTATGTGTGGTGTTGCTGCGAGAGTGCGAGCTCAGAGTTGTGCTGGTGTTCTTGTCTTTGTACGGATGTCGTAGATTCGATTTGGTAAGTTGTTTGGGATCGGCGAGTGTTGTCGGAAAAGGAAGCGAGCAGGTATCGTGAAGTCGGAGGTTGTGGTGTTGTCAACTTCTGAGGTGAGCAAGGTGAAGCTTTGTGTTGCTTCGGGAGAGGTGCGCACCGGATGAGGTCAGCGTGCGAGGTGCCTTATCAGCTTATCGAAGTCTTATCGCGATAGAGCAAGCGAGTCTACCCCGCCAATCCCAGCGCTGTGGCAGTGCAGAAATGCAGAGGGGTCCCCTAGCAACCCCCCTGTCATTCCAGCGCAGCGCTGTCAGGTCAGTGACTGAGGTGCGACCCCCCCGGGAAAAGATGCACGTCACCGGTCCTGCGACCCAGAAACGAGGCGTCCGACGACGGGAATCTGTGGAGGAGAGATCCCGGCGACAATCTTCCCTTCCCCAGTCCCTTTCGTCTCCCTTTCACCACGAATACTCCAGACCTGGTACTGGGATACTTTCTGCAACATTTTCTTGAACAAACCTCTTTAACCACTCCAAGACTGTTCAGATATTGTTCTACTTCTCCCCCCTCTAGTCTCCTCTCTGCTCCGGCTCGTCCGTACATTTCTAGGGCATCCAAGTTTCATCCACCATCCAGGCCATCCCGCTGACTACTACTCCGGCCTCCCTCTCGCGCCTGGTCGACTCCTGCGCATAACTGAAGCCATCCTGGTCCGTGACCTCCCTTACGACGACTCGTAGCCACGCCCAAAATACGAACATCATGCGCCGGGCCACGCCGGACTGATCGACGACCAACAACAGACACACCAAAGCAGAGGACCCTGGACCGGCCTCTTGTCTCACCTCTCTTAGCCGCCGCCGCCGCCGCCGCCGCCGCCGCCGTCGCCGCCAGCGCCAGCGCCGTCCCCCGACCCCGTCAAATACCTAATACCCCCTTAGACCCCTAGAGCTCCCTTTCTCGAGGGACCTCTCGAAACTACGACTCCTTCACGCACGCTCGCATCTCAGCAGCATCGAGCGCATGGTTTCGCCTCCCGCGATGGCGCCCACCTCCGAAACCATCCCCTCCACGACCTCAGAACCCGTCGACCTCTCCTCCTCGCCGCAGTCCCTTGCCCGTGCCGTCTACGCGCGTCGGGCAGAGTACGTACGGCCACACCGGATCCGGGTCAAGATTGGAACATGGAATGTGGCTGCGTGTCCTGGTACCGACAAGGACCTGGCGAGCTGGTTCGTTGACGGATACGGCCTTGACACAACGCTCTCGAGGCTCAATGTTGCCGATCACGATACGGTAGAGACGGATCCCCCACCAGCTGCCAAGGACGGAACCAAGGATGCAGCCAAGGCTGCGACTGAAGAACAAGATCCAAATGCCTCGGTGCACTTGGTGGGAGGCGACAAGGTTGGACTGTACGTCCTGGGCTTACAAGAGATTGTCGACTTGAACATGGCGAGGGACTACATGAACCGCATGGCATCTGACCAAGGACCCATGAAGAAGTGGAAGGAAGCTCTGGAAGAAGCTATGCCGGATGGATACGAGCTCGTTGCCGCAGAGCAAATGTCTGGTCTACTGCTGCTGGCCTATGCTTCCCCCGAGGTAGCACCAACAGTCAGCAATGTGAGCACAGTCTCTGTCGGAACGGGCCTATTTGGATACCTGGGGAACAAGGGAGCTGTCACTACGCGAATGTTGCTCGGAGAGACGACCCGCATGGTCTTTGTCAACTGCCACCTGGCTAGCGGCGCAGAGCAGACATACCTGGACCGGAGGCTATGGGACGTTGGGCAGATTTTGACAAGGACGCAGTTTGACCCGATCAACCTGGCTGGGGAGAACGATGCCGAGCCGGAGAAGATTGGCGATGAGGACTTTGCTTTTTGGGTTGGTGACTTGAATTTCCGCGTGGATGGGTTGCCTGGCAACGACATCCGGCGGCTTCTTCAACTACACACCCGTGGCGAGTACGACCTGGATAAAAGGGGGCGCAAAGTTATCGCCGGCGAAGAGGTTCTGGTGGTCAAGAGCGCAAAGAAGAGTGACTACACCGATGACGATACCTCGACAATCGAAACGACTCTTTCGTCAGAGGCTAGTTTGGATGATTCGTCAAGCTCTCTGCCAGATCCCGACGACTTTTTGCCAGATCCAAGTGACGACCCTGCGTCATTGCAAGCAACACTTGACTCTCTTCTACCGCATGACCAGCTAAGGAGGATAATCAAGGAGAAGAAGGCCTTCCACGACGGCTGGCGCGAGGGACAAATCACTTTCCTACCCTCGTACAAGTACGACGTCGGGACCATCAGTCTCTTTGACTCGAGCGAGAAACAAAGAGCCCCAAGTTGGTGCGATCGCATTTTGTACAGAACAAGAAAGGACAGGGAGGAGTATGAGCAAAAGGTCAAGGAGGCCGAGGAGGCAAAGAAGAAGGACGAGGAGATGACGGCGCGGGGTATCGACCATGCGACCGATGACGACGACGTCCTATTCAGCTACGACCCGGATGCGGATGGCGAGGAGGTGCCTACGGGCGAAGCTGGGCTCGACTACGACGAATATGAAGAAGATGAAAACGAGCCAGAGGAAGTTGTCACCAAGGAAGGGTTTACGGACAGGATACAGCTCGACATCTACACCTCACACCAGCGGATCATTTCCTCAGATCACAAGCCCATCATATCCATCTTTACGCTCGACTATGACGCGGTGGTGCCGGATCTCAAGGCCAAAGTCCATGCCGAAGTTGCAAAGGAGCTGGATCGCGCCGAGAACGAGGGACGACCTCTCGTCACTGTCATTCTCGACAACCCAGACATGCAAGCCAAGGGTGAGGACGGGGTGGATCTGGGTGAAGCTGTCGACTTTGGAGATGTGGCCTATCGCTGCAAACACACGGCGACATTGACAATCGCAAACACAGGACGAGTGCCGGCCAAGTTTGCTTTTGTCGAGAAACCCACGATTGAGGAGGATTCTGAGGCTTCAAGCCCACCAGCTTGGCTGAGCTCTTCGTTCAAACGAACGGCCGCAGATGAAAGCGCAGAGGAGTCTCCAGATCTGGGCGACGAGGTCACCTTGGAGCCAGGCGAGACAGTCAGCGGTGTGCTGGAGATATACGTTAGCGACATCTCTCACGTCCGAGCCCTCAACGACGGACGATCATCGCTTGAGGACATCCTCGTTCTGCGGGTCGAAGACGGCAGAGACCACTTCATTCCAGTCCGCGCTTCCTGGCTACCGACGTGTTTCTGCCGCTCGATAGACGAACTTATCCGCATTCCCGACGGAGGCATCCGAGCCTTCATGAAATCGAGGGATGGCAAGAGTTCCGGCTCCATTCCATACGACCTCGATGTCCGCTGCGCTGCTCCCAAGGAGCTCTTCAAGCTCACAGAAGCAGTCGAGGTGATGATGCTTCGCGCCATCGCGGAAGCAAACATGATTGAGGAGCATGTCATTCCGGCTGACAAGCCTGGCTGGCCCTTTGACGAGACCGCATGGCTGTTCAAAGACAAAGAATCCCGTGACAGCCAGATTGTCGCATTGATCGAGGCATTGGATAATGACCAGCCCCTCGTCGAAGCGCTTCCCGTTGAGGTGCCATCACTCTACCGCCTCGAAGTACTCGCCGAAGTCCTGCTTCTCTTCCTCAGCGGCCTAACCGACGGCATCATCACCGCAGCCCTCTGGGCTAAGATCGAAGTTGCCATCCCTCACCTGGGCGCGGCTGCAGCACGGTCACCACCCGAAGTCGAAGACGACAAGACTGCGGTGCTGGACATCCTTGCAACAGCACCAAACCACAACATCGCCTTTGTCTTCCTGACAGCGACTCTGTCCAAGGTGGTCGCGGAGATGGCCCCCATCTCGCGGTCCGAGGTCGAGGCGTTGACGATGCAGAAGCCCAATAGGCGGAGTCTCAGCTTTAGGCGGCTCACGGGTGGCAACGCCGCTGCCGAGGCTGCGTTGGCGAGACGGCGTCTTCGAGAGAGGAGGGTCGGCGAGGTGTTTGGCAAGGCTGTGTGCCGAGTGGGGTTGCCTGCCAAGGATAAGGAGAGGAAGGCCGTTGAGGAAAAGATGAGGGGGGCTTTGGAGATCTTTGTGCGGAGGCCTCTAGAGGATGGTTAAACAATAAGGTGTTGATGGTGTTATTTTAGTTTTGTGAATGATAGACGTAGAGGAATGATACCTGTTGGCGTGCTACCATTTCTTCACCGTGATTTACATACAAATTAGTTACATTGCCTTGCAAGGTGAAGCCATACTGTGTTCGTACTTCTGCGCGAACCCCGCAACTCCACAGTCAACGTCGTCTACTCCTCATCGCTGAAGCATACGAGTACGATGTACGAACTAAGCGAGTTATCCTTCATATATCTAGTGTCACTCTTCATGATCAAGACCTATCAAGCCTGAACTTCATCAGTCATCTGACAGACGGTTTCAAAACTCAAGATGGCCGGCTCACTCATCTTAGCCGGCTTAACATTAGCCACCGCAGTCCACGGCGCCACAACCCCTTCTCAGCTACGGATGGGGGATATAAACATAACCCGTACTCGACGGCGGATTCCTGGCTGTGAAAAGATGGAAAACCGGATCTTGAGGCGTTGGAGAACTTCGCGTATAGAGGGTTACATGAGATGACGCTCATTGGAAAATACGTCGTTGCAAGCTATTACGGCAAGAAACCAGAGTTTTCTTACTGAATCATGTGCTCTACCGGCGGAAGACAAGGTCTCGCCATCGCGCAGCGGCTTCCGAGTGCTTATGACGGATTCCTCGTCGGGTGTCCAGCTGTCAGCTTCCCCGGATTACTGATGGGTATGTTCTGGCCTCAGGTGGTGATGAACAAGGTGGGCGGGTATCCCTCCGCCTGCGAGATGGAGGCTGTACAGAAGGCTGCGGTCGAGGCCTGTGACGAGGTGGACGGAATCAAGGATGGGGTTATTGCGAGGGATGATTTATGTGCGTTTGAGCCGAGGAGTGTGCTTGGTAGGGAGGTCGAGTGTGAGGGGGTGAAAGGGAGGGTTTCGGAGGGCGCGGTCGTTATTGCTGAGGCTTTGTTGAGGGGACCTGTTGACTAGGAGGAAGGTAGTTTGTTTCCGGGCTCGACGGCGGGGACTGCCGCGACGGGGTTGATGGCGTTGGGAGATACTGTTTGTGAAGGGGGAAGGTGTCGTGGGAGGCCGTTCACGATTGCTACGGATTGGGTCCGGTTGTTGGTGAAGAAGAATGCTGGGTACGATTCGGCGAGTGTGGCTAGGCTGGAGTTTGCCTGGCTGTTCAGGGAGACGGTGGAGGAGTTTGGGAGTATGATTGGGAGCGATGACCCTCATCTGAAGAGGTTCAGGGAGGCTGGGGGGAAGATGCTTGCGTGGCATTCTATCAACGATGAAGCTATCACGATCAATGCCCTGAGGCGGTATTACGGCAAGTTCTTGAAGGTTGATGGGGGAAGAGAGGAACGAGTTGAGACTGAGGGGTATTTCAGGTTCTTTGAGGTTCCTCGGACTACGCATTGTGCTGCGCCTAGAGGGGCTGGGTTTCCTTTGAGGGCTTTGAATGCTTTAAGACGGTGGATTGAGAAGGCAGAAGGATGAGTTATGAGTTCAAAAGTAATGTTGTTTGCAGAGATAAACGTAAATCTCTACTTCCTAAGCTTTCCTGAGCTGGCTGAGTAATAGCGAGCAAACACGGCTCGCGTCACTACCTCTACCCTCTCCGGATACCTGCCTTGACCAAGCGACTGGAGAGAAAATGAAGAACTTATCGAGTCAAGCATCTCATTTACGCGCTCTCGGGTTTCTGTCCGTATACCACATTACTGTTCAGTCGGTCAGTCTCTTTCTTCCAGCCAGAGTCACGGAAAGGGGACATACTAATGCAAATACGCGTGAACCTTTCCAGACTTCAACTCCTCACGAACACCCTTCATCAGCGTCACCACCTGCTCCTCAGTCCAATTCAGTCCTCCACAGAAAAGCCTCAACGAGAAACCCTCCAGCCCATCCAGCATCTGAATCAGATTACACATGCCGATATCCTTCAGGTGCGCGTCCTTCGGCCAAGGTCCAGCGGAGATCTTGAACCCCTTGTGGAAAACGTTGACGAGACCCGTGTTTTCGGAAACCAGGCTCTCGAGCTTGAGACCGACTTTTGCGTCGCGCTTGAAGACATCGCACGCTTCCATGAAGAGCTTCATCCAGTGCTGCATTATTGTGCCCTCGAGGGTGCCGTCGTCGCTGTAGAGTTCGAAGCTCCAGTCTTGGAACTCGGCCCAGCCGCCGGGGTTCAGGTTTCTGGGGCATGGGGTTAGTAGTTCAAGATCGTTTCCGAGCAGAATGCAGCGGCTTAGGGTGAGGGTATTGCACTTACTCGTAGACTCGCCTCACATACGTAGGCCAATCTGCCAAGGAGCCGGAGAGGTAGCGACTGAAGATGAAGTCGTACTTCTTTTCCCCGATCCATTCACTCTCGACGTCGTCAATCTCGAACTTTACATTCGGGGGCACCCTGGGTAGCTGTCAGCAGGCTATCAAGAGGGAAACATGTACTTTAAACGTGCCACGCCGGCTGAATTGGACTAAGATCATTTCCGACAATCTAAATAATCGTGATTAGGATAAGCGTAGGCCAGTTAGCAGCTCAACAATGAAGCTCTTACTTCGGCGTCAGGAAAGATGTCTCCCATCTCAATCGACCCTATTCTGGTCAGTTGGAAGAAAAACAAGCTTGAAGACATTGCATATCTTACAGATCCCAGTGCCGGTTCCAACATCAAGGATTCGAAACGTTTTGGCTTTGTCGATTGGCGCTAGGAATAACTTGTTCCCAATTGTTTTGACTAGCAATGCATGGCATATGTCAAGTCTTTCCATTTCACTCTGACCGAGGAAGTGAGCTCCATGCTGTAGATACCTAGTCTGGAAGAGGTTGGGACTTACATCATCGTTGGGAAAGACGTAGGCTAGGACCGCTGGTCAGCTTTGGTCCAAATTGAGTATCTATGGAACATGCCACTTATGCTTTTATGATATTTTATTGAATTACCTACCTCCCGCCCGGAAAGCGTGATAACGGCGGCCATATTGAGTGGGATAGTCGACCACAGAAGACGAGAGCGACGCTGAATACGACGACCTACGAGGATCAGTGTGTGAAAAGATCTAGGGAGTTTCCAGCGAGGAACGCCTGGTGGCTTATGTTGATTTACATCTGGTCCTCAATCGTCGACGCGGCATCCTACCAGGATTAACATCAGGGTTGATAGTCTTTTTTGCAAAATAGATATGAGGGCTTACCGCCGCAGCATCATCAACATCGATTAGACCTGTCATGTTTTCTTCGGCGTGGACGTAAGCAACACGCCGCAAGTCAGGTTGGTTTTCGGATAAGACTAAAACAATCGATGGCTTGAAGATTTAGAGTGCGAAGATAGCGGGGTAATTAATGATTTAGACGTGACCAAGATTTGACTCCATACCAAATACTGGCGACCTCCTGATCGTTGATGTAGGTGGTTGGGTTGGTTCTTTACTTCCAACTGCATATTGCTGAACAGGGATTAATGCGAGCGTGCATGTGCGCGCTGTGTCTCCTTCCAAGTGGGTTTGATCTCCCAGGCGGGGCATATTCCAATATTCGCTGCGATTGATATCTTGAAGGCATGGCATGGTTATTTTCGCTCATGGCTATGACCGTCATATTGAACATGATTAGAGTCCAAGAGAGGACGTTAACTAAGCCAAGGACTCGATGAGGGTCGCTAGATAAGTAAGCTAAAGGACTCTCCTATTAATCACTACCAGTGAGGCTAGCTAAGCGCCGAACCCACACTGGCTGCAAGAATGGGGTACATAGAAAGCTCTGGTCTCCTCTTTTGCTGCACGTTGGAGGACCACCTGCAGGCGAGCATTGCGTGGTGGGATGATCCGGAGACTAGTCGGAACATGAAAAGACGTAATACGGCAAACACCCCAGTCCACTCAACTCAAATGTGACTGAGGCCGCTAACCTCTGTACGCTGGTGATGTCGTGCGCAGTTGATGTTCCCTTGGCCAAAGCTTATAGAGAGCTCACTAGGGCACAATAACAAGCAATTTCTCATCAAGACATCTACAGTTGTTTGCAGACGAAAGTCTGCACCAAAGCTTGGGTAAGTACCCTCGTCCCGATCTCGTGACTTACAATACTTGAGACGAGAACGAGGGATTGAACAGGAGCGTGTTGATACTGCGAGCAACTGGATTGGAGTAGTGATCATGACGCCCTGTCTTCATGTTCTATTCTCAACAAAGATCCTCAAGGCTCCAGGCCCGCGGCACTCTCGCAATGATTATCTTCGTCAAAACTTCTCATCGTCCATCCAGTACTACTAAACTTCAGCTGCAACAACGGGCCAGGACAGATGTGGCTTAAAGATGACCCTGAGAACGAAGTCTGAATACACCAGCTACGAGCAAGTCAAGGCAGGACCGAAGTTAACCACAAGGCCATAGATGAGGCCGCTCCTTCCGAATGATGCAGGACTCAAACCCGGAAGAAAGTCTTCGAACTTGGGAACAGGCGATAGAATTGGCTTCAGACGTGGGTAATCTCAGGTAAGCTATTGATGAAAGACTGAGATCCAGGCCGGTGAATCTGGAGGGTGAATCTGGAGGGTCATACCGAGACGCAGTATTAGACTATCACCAGTGAGAGCCCTACGAGCAAGAATGCCGTGATGTTTGTAAAAAGCAATGAAAAACGTCTATGATGACTCTGAATAGAGGGAAGTATTACAAACTGACAGCCCTGAAAGTATGGAATTGTCCATGAAATGGGGGAATGCTCTTCGGCAATGAAATGCTTTGTTTCCTGATATCCCCAGCTTGGACCCTGGCCCAAAGCCGCAACGCCTTTGTCCGCCGTCTGTATCAGCCACGCATTGTCCCTGCCTCTCGACTCCCCCTCCCATCCATACCCTGAAGAAAAGCCAAACCTGAACTATGGTCATATTTCCTCTCCCATACCAAAGACGTCTTTATCGTCATCATCTGATGTGCAACTCTTTACCAGAGGAAAGGTTGACGATCCAAGTCGGCTGTCGGGATATGTTCGTAGTCGTTCCGATAATCCCACAGCTTGAACATGTCGCCATCCAGATAGCCTCCATCCATTGCGAACTCTGCAGGGACGTGACGGGGTTCGCGATTGGCAGGTCTGGTCAGCCAAAGAACCTCATCGAAGATGAATTCAGTCATGGCACCGGACATGTGCAACTTTCGGAGTGAAGGCGGCAAGGTTCGGATCAGAGGACTACCCTCCACAACGGTCGGATTGAGTGGGTCAGAGCCTGCGTCTGTAAAGTTGGCTCTGTTCGATTCAAAGACGCTGATGTCCACCCAGGCTGCCTCTAATCTCGTGAAGGTGCTGAGCTCGAAGGGGGGGCTCTGCAAGTCAGTCTCACAGGTTCCGTTGAAGTCGATGACCAGAGTGCGGAGGGTGGCCCGACGTATTCCCAGAGCCCCCAGAATCAGCCACGGGTGGACGGCGTAGGGATGCACAGCCCTCTGTATCGGCTTCTTCCAAAAGAACTGTTCCAGTCTAGGACAGGCTCGAATGGCATTCGCAAGAATGGGAAGCGGCATTGAACTGTCGCTAAAGGCTAGGGTTGTCAGATTCGTCGATGACCAATTGTGGAACTGGAGAGCTGTGCCAGTGATGTAAGACTCTTTCAGGTTTCTTGCTCCGTCAATGAACCTTGCATTGAACAGTCTCTCACGAGGCCAAGCCCAATGGCTTTCCGCATCGGTATAATCCTTTCTCATAGAGAATGACTTCAAGGAGGAAAGTGTTGACTTGTTTGTTTGTTGGGTTGAGAGGATCTCGTCCATGTCGTTGATGGCATCCAAGATTCCGGAAAGAGATAGGGGCTCTGCAGAGAGAATGAAGTCTTGGGCATTGTTGACGAGGGTGAAGAGAACAGCGGAGGACAGCTCAAAGACATTGAAGAGATACATCGCGTCTGGCCAACAAGCATTCTTCAGCCAAGCCTCCAGGGTGGCCATGCCCATGGCGTACTCATAATCGGGAACCTCAGTGGGCGATAGCGCATTCTCGCCGTCGAGGTGGATGTGCAACTGCTTGACTAGCCGACAAAGGTCCTTGTTTTGTGAGAGGGTCTTCATGAGCGACAGCCACTGCCGAGGGGCTTTGGGCCCGCTATGAACACTGACCGATTCATACAGGGACGACGTGAATAGGTTGTAGTGGCGACGGGATGTGCGTGTCAAGAAGACAAGCGCCTGACGTTGACCGCAAAGCTCCCTTTGGATGAGCCGGTCGTTGTCGAAGTCGTGAAGGAGTTTCTTGCCTGGGGTATATTTGGGGCGAAGATAGGAACCGATGTGTAGAATGACCTCAGTGGGGAGGGTTTGCAGCTCAGCCATCTTGAAGTGAGCCACCAGAAGGACAGTTGAAGACTCGAGAGTGACTGTGGCAGCTAAATGGGAGGCACCTGAGATAGGCGAGCTCGTAATGAAGAAGTCTTCTCAAACAGTCGTTAGCATTGCGAACCAAGGTAAGATGAGAGGGCAGAGAGCGCACCGCGTGAGGAGCTATTGCGTGAAAAAGATGATGCTGGTGAGTGCAAATGTCGAGTAGCGGGTAGCAACCACTGACAAGGACCAGAGAGCAATGGGAAATAAAGCTCTTTTCGTTTCCTGGCTTGATGGAGATGGAATCCCTTCTGTAAACACCTCCAGGGAAGATATTGGTAGTTGAAGTGAGGTAAAAAGGGTGGGAGAGGTCGGCTGGTGTGAAGAAGAAGAAGAGCTGTATGGGTGGAAGAGGAGTAGTGAGTTGGGCAAGAGAGAGAAAGACGACAAAAACAAAAAGAAGAGAAGAAAAAAACACGAAAAAGGTGAATCTGTGACCGGGAAGGAACGCAGACGAGGAAGTACGTTCTGGGAAGGAACGACTGAAGAATCTTCTATATTAATTATTTATTGCTTCCTTCTCTTTTTCTTCCTCCTAAACATATGATTTGATTGATTGACACGCAGAGCCTTAAGTTCCTACGAAGCATTATCCTTTTACTTGAAAGACCAAAGCGGCTTGTTTTATTATAGCGATACATTCTCAGTTAGTAGGTAGCTGATGATTCACGACTGCCCTGATGCCAAAGTGCGCTTCCCCTAAATTAAGTGTGCTTTAAAGCCAAGCCGAAATTATTCCTTCTCTTCTAGAGGTCTACAGTGACTCACTCATGGATAAATCGGGTTATCGGAACAAGGTAGTAGAGAACCACCTTGAGAAAAGCGACGAGGCCATTCTGGCAAAATTGAGTGAGGTCAGGGCATGGAAGACGATTCCTGAGCAAGCTAAAGTGTTGCGGATTTGCCAAAAGCCTTCGTATTTCTCTATGATGTCTATGAGAAGATGTAGAATGCCTGGACTTGCATCTCTAAACCCAGCAGGGATTGTGCCATGTTCTGTGCTTCATCGGAATCCATATCTGTGAAAGGGCGATTGTTTCCCTGCCCCCTCAAAGGGAATACCTTTACCACAACTCTCCAAGCTTGCACACTGTGCTTGGAGATTCGATACCCGCTCTAATGAACCGTTCCTGGTACGACAAGTTTGTGTTCTTGATGGTCTTGCCGATGTCTCCCTCCTCCGCATCACCGTCTTGCAAGTAGCTTCCGCTACCATTGGCGCCTTCGTCATTCATGGCCCAGAGAGTAAAGTTGTCACCTTTTTCATCAATATCGCCCTGGTCCGCATCATCTTTATCGCTATTGTCCAGATTAGGCTCCCAGAGTTCTGGGAATCTCCGAACGAAGTCCTCCAGTTCAACCAATCTCAAATTGGGGAATTTCTCGCGATCTGTTAACACCTCGCACATGTTATGACGAACCTGAGGCTCGTTACCTGCCAGGTGAAGACGCTTGATAGAGGGGGGAAAAGATGTGCTGAGCTTGTGTGTCAGTCGCTTGTGCCTTTCGGAACGACTGAAGGAGCCACATTTGACTTTTTTCAATACGGTCGAGGCATCGACCCAGAGATTCTCTAGGTTGTTGAAGCCTGAAAGACTTCTGATAGCCTCGTACTCTCCTCGATACCAGTCATTAAGATCAAGGCAGAGACTAAGGAGGGTAGTCGTCGTGTTCTTATGCTGCCAGAGTATAGTGACAATCTCTTCGGGTGACACAGGCCAGTGTGGAACGTATGTATCTGCCCGAGAGTTCAGATACTTGAACGAGACGAGGGAGGCGCAGCCTTGGATCATCCCGCGAATCTTCTGTTCGTCCAAAAAGGTCTCGGTGATGGTAAGACAAGTAACATTGGCCCATTGCGAGTGGGTATTGAGAGGGGAGACTGGCCGTCCATCCTGACTTGCAATGAAAATCGATCTGGCGTTCGGTGCGAATTGAAGCAGATGGTCAAGATCCAAATGCGATATGCCTGTGTCTGGATGACTCTTTGGAAGGCAACTCGGACGTACAGCGAGCATCTTGATATTCGGAAATGGCCGCTGGACACCCCGAAAGGTCTGAATCTTGCGGGGATCTGAGGGGCCCGGCTCTCTTCCCCATAGCAAACTATCAATCTCGCTTCTGGACAATGGACCGTACTGATCGCGAAACAGGCCTCCCGGCACTGCGAGACCTAGCTCTTGCACTCCGTGTACACGCAAAAGGATGATTTTGAGGAGCATGCCAAGGTGCAAGATCCGAGTTGTGAAGCGTTGAGATTTCGACATTTGGAGAAGCTTGCCATCTTCCGAGTGCCAGAGGTAAAGGGGCGATGGAGCACCTGAATGTTTGGCAGCCCAGTGACTCCATTCGAGATCCGCCTCTGTGAAGTCGCCGTTCTCCGTGTTGCTGGGAACCAAGTGTAGATACAGTCTTCGGACTGTCAAGGCAACATCTTCGTTATTGATCAGAAACTGAATGAAGCACTTGAGCTTTTGGAAGCTGTTGGATCCATGGATACTGATGCTGCGATACAACTCCGGAGCCAGCATTTGGCGATCATTCTTGCAAGTGCGTGAAAGATTGAACGCCGAAGACCAGACTGGCTGAATCATTTTCGAGAGCTCTTCATCCGATTTGGTCGTAGAAAACTGCTCTCGCAGAGAGAACGATGGGAACATTTTGTAAACGATCTCGGGAGGGAGATCATCAAGTACCGTCATTGTTGATGATTTGGTTGTGAGCATATCGATATAGTGAGAAAGGTGGATTGGGCGGCTTGTGGTGATCACTTTACTCTGAAAGGAGACAATGGCACTAGACGACGATCAGTGGTTGTTCTTCTGGCTGAGAAAAAGCGACGGAACGAGGTGATCGGGTGTAGGTACCTGGGAGATGATCGGCTGTGCTCTCAGAGGCTCAATGCAAAAGACCATTTATACAGGAGTGACCGCCTTACTAGGGGCATTTGTAATGCTCTGGGGGATAAGAAAGTCGTAGTGATTTTGATCGACTTCTGTTTGTGAAGCAAGCAACCTGAAGTTGATGAAGGTTGAGACTGGAAGTTTTTGCCTCAACGGCCGCTGTGAAAAGTAAGAAGGGGTGAATGAAGGGAAGGAGAAAGGAGGAACGCCATCAAAGTCGTGCTTGCCACCGGGAGGACAACAAAATCTGCAAGGTAAAGGTAAGTCTGGATATTCACCACTACTAAGGTACTTAGTCTGAAAGGTGAAGTATCTAGTGCGCCTGGTTCCAAGCCCCACAGCCACCTCGCCTCCAGGGCATAGATATCTGTGTATGCTATTTAATATCTAGGTCTATTCTGGTCGATATCTTCTTTGCCAAGGAGAAAAGTCCAACAGCATTGCAGATTCTTTGGGCATATCACTACCATTACATCATCTTCCTAGAAAGACCGCCTTTCCTCTATATTTATACGAGAATCAATCACTCTGTGAATCTGTGAGAACTACTTGGGAACGATAAGCCCTATTTGATCTACACCTGGGACCTGCAGTAGTCCGAGTAATAGAGCCACCTGCGTTGCCAATGATGAGATTTTGGTTACTCAAATGTGTCAATACCAGATGAAATAGTCAGAAGTCATTCCATTAGAATGGATCAAGCTGTTCTTGGATAGGTCTTGTAACGTATATCAGGCCAGTTGATGTCTACAGTACCCAAACATTGAGCAAGGAGCATCAATCAGGAATCTACTGGTTCCCCAAAAGATTGAACGTGAGGTTCTTATTCTACAGCGCAGCACCGCGACTGCGAAGCAACGATCATATCTATAAGTATGTAATATCTACATGACTGCCATGTCGACCAATTGGTTGCTTAGCCATTCCGCCGACGCTGTCTTGTTGGGGCGAAGGGAGAGGTAGCGAGATACCAAGTGCGTTCTTCTCCATACCTCTGCCATCTGAGATCGAGCATTATCTCAACTCCCCTCAGATTAAGGTTGCAACGTCCGTGTTTCCTAGTTGTGGATATCTCCTTCGCAGTTTAATTAGGCAAGACCTGGACAATCCTTAAACACGCGAGTAGTCCCACTTCCCGAAGACGGGGTTAACGGGCCGTAATATCCGCGAGTTCAAGTGAGGTCGATTAGTAATTGGCAAGCCAAGTCTTAGGACCGTAACATTGAGCTGCTACAACTAGTGACATAGTTCAAATGAAACTTTAATAATTGGAGAGACGAAAGATGTGCCGGACTACTATGCGTCCGTATGCCCGTAGCCAAGAGTGAATGGCGCCTATATAATGCCAGTATGACCCGAGACAGTGATGGAGTGACTATCTATTGCAAAGCGACCTATACTGTCTGCTTCTCGCATCATCCACCTGAGTTTAATCCCACAGGACAAAAGAATCATGACGCTCTCTTCATTCTCCGTCCAGGAACTACATCCTAAGCACTCCCTTTCAACGACAAAGGTTGAAACGTGGGAAGACTCCTTGAGAACCGACCCTTCCCAATCCGGTGTATTCGAATGGTGGTACTTTGACTCACACCTGGCCAACGGCGGAAAGCTCATGGTAGTATTTCATACCAAGCTCTTCACCAGCCCGCAAGTCGGACTCGAACCCAAGATTCAGATCCAACTCGAGACACCCGATGGCCGAGTCTGCAATGTCTTACAAGCCTACAACCCAGATGAGTTCTACTCCAGCAGAGATGAGTGCGATGTCACCGTCACCAGAGATGGCGTTGTCAACTTCTTTCGTGGCACGGGGCTCAAGGAATATCACATTAGTGTGACGGTGGAGAGCATTGATATCGACATCCACATGACCAACACGACCTCGCCCTGGCGCCCTGGCAAGGGCCACGTGTGGTCTAAGAACGATGAATATTTTGATTGGCTCGTGGCCGTGCCCCAAGGAAAAGTCACCGCTACTTACACCATTGCTGGCGAGTCGCCAGTCACAGTGGACGGCGATGGATACCACGACAAGAACTGGGGCAACGCACCGCTCGCTCAGACGATCAACCATTGGTACTGGGGCAGGGGAACACTCGGGCCTTATACCGTCATCTCCTCCGCAGTCGTTTTCTCCGAGAAGCACGACTCTGTTCTGGTAAAGACCTTCATGATCCAGCACGAGGACACTGTCGTGGCTGATGATGGGTCCAAAGTCAGCTTCAGCGCTGAAGGCATTGAGCATGATGACGAGGTTGACCGCCCTGTGGCCGACACACTTCATTTCGAATACCAGAACGAAGGCACTGTCTTCGTCATTGAGTACTTCAGAGAAGAAACTACTTTGCGCCAACAGATGGGCGGGGCGTGGTATCTCCGTTTTGCCGGCGGGATGAAACTCAAAAAGTACCAAAACGACGAGCTGGTTGAAGAACATGTGGGCCATACTCAATGGGACTCGATGTGGTTCGGACAAGGTCGCAAAGAAACCCTTCCTTACTGGAAATGAGGAGCGTGGGGATGGCTACGTAGGACTTGTGAGGCAATTCGAGGAGAGCTCCAGCGAGCCTTCTCATTCAACAGTCTCGACGTGGAATAAGAGAAGGATGATAAAGGCAGCAAGAGAGAACGACAGCGCCCAGATAAAAATAAATGAATGGATCTCCAAACGCGTGCTATCGATTCTGTTCATCTTGGAAGAGAAAGAAGGGCCGAGACCACAGTTTCTGCTTGATAAGCGCTTGTATGCGTGTTGAAGCCTAGCTCGACTTACATCTTTCCCCGCCAGCTTGCCGTGAGAGCATATTACCAACTGCCCAATGCTCAACTTTACCGATTGTCTCGAACATACACCTCAGTGTCATCTTCAGCAGTTCCCCTCGATGTGCTTCGTAGATACAGAAAGATGGATGTGAAGTGAACGTATTCACTTAGAAGCATCATGGAACCAGAAAAGTTCCCTCCACCTCTACAATATCATCGTCGTTCAGCCGCTGGACTTCAATGATCGACCGAGGTGGTTGTTTGTTGGGCTCATCCCCCCAAAGCTCCGTTTGTGCCTGATTGCACAGAGGCCTATACCGATACATATCGGTCGTGTAGACAACAAGGCGTATTGCCGAAAACCTATCAGTGCCAGCAAGCTCGGCAAGTTGGATCATGTTGGCGTAAGCTTGGCGGATCCGGTCAATACCCACCGGAGCAAGGGTGTTGTTAGATGGGTAAATGCCGCGCATGCCTGCTCCCACGCATTTGTCAGTGGTTATGACGGGTGACGCGGGGCATGTGATCATGTACCGGCGACGTAAAGAGTTTTTCCTGCCTTTGACATCAGACTCCATGGTCCAGTAGGTGGAAATAGTACTGAGGGATTGAAGATCTCGACCCCTGCAGGTGAGGTGTAATTGGGTTCCAGGCCAAGCGAAGTTGCCGCTGATATCATGGATAGAATGCTGAGGAGTTTCATGATGGACTGAACTGTTACAAACACGTGAGGAATGTGAACTTTGAATGATTTATCGCGAGCGTTATTAGAGAGGATTCGGATCTCCTTTAATTGGGCTCATTTTTCACGCGCTGTTCAGTTCATGACATCATACCAAGCTGTCTTTGCATGCTTGGCGCCAATTGAGTCCCTTGCGTCTGTTTTCTTTCGTATTAATGTAACCCAATCTGGAACCTTTGGCCAAAGATGACGTTAATCATCAGTCTAGAAGAAGCTACTTGCTACTGTCTTTAAAAGAATTCAATATCTGATAGCGCAATGTGTGTGAGCTATACCTCGCATAGGTTTAAGTGTTTTAAGCGGGACGAAGAAGAAATCAAGTCCAAAAATGAACGCTAGAACCTGGAGCAACCTTCCAGTCTGCGAAGGGGATGGCAAAAGTTAATAGTGAAAGGAGTCAGTATTATGTTGCCGAAGATGGAAACGGGGCCATGGGAGGGCAAAAGGCTCCGGTGAAAGACCTCTCCCATCTTGTGCCCTAATTACTAGTACAAACTTTCGGGATCATCGCCTGAAATTTTAGAATTCTGTAGTGTGTGCCAGCAGATCAATCTGAAAGAGGCGAGGAAAGAGTTGAAGCCGAACGCTTCAAGGGTCTTCAGTCAAACGAAAGAACTCGCTCAAGTCAACACCATATGCTTGAGTGGTCCTGATGGTGCGCGGAGTCTGATGCATTGTAAGATGAGATTAGTTCACGAATATGTAACGCTCCTGAAGTCATGACAGCCGTTGCCACATCCCGGAGATTGCTAAATACCACAGTACAAGCTACCCATGGTGAAAGCGTCCGGAAGCATCGTTTTCAAGCCGATAAGCACTTGATGAATTCACAGAGTCCACATACGGGGTCTCAAGACTCATCATTATTTCCATAACCTGTCAAGCCGTGACGGTAGCTTGCCCCCCCCTCGGGGCCCGCCGTATTTCACTTATAACATATTGACGCCAAAGGTCTGAATACATAATTCGGTTTCTGATGTATTCGAGAGACTTCCTTGCTGGTTCAGATCTTCCCATGTGATTCTTGGTTTGTCTTCGGTACAACATTGAAGTTCATAATCAGTTTTTGCATGATATGCAGAGATAAGACAGTTGGATTGCCATCTCATTTCCAGACGTCGTCCGAATACAGTATTAAGCATTGTGAATCAAATGTTCCACATGAGTCCCTTGTACCGTGTTCGGTGTGTCTCAAATGCTAGCTCAGAAATAGAGGCTTACAGTGATTACATGTACCATCGTAGACGCTCCGAATCCGGAACTCGGCGGTTCTAGTGCCTAAACAACACCG